AACCTTTAACAGGGCACATCATCTTACATTAATAGTCCCTTAAGCTGTTATTTGTTTTCTTGTGTTTATAGTTATGACTTATTATAACATAATGAACATGGTCATGGTCTCTAAAAGTGAAAAATAGTTTGACAACCCAAATCAAATCAAGAATAAAAAATATGCTATTCATCCCTTGTGTCTTTGGATTCCATCTAATTTTAAATATAGACAGTAGTTCAGGGAACAACAAGAAAAATAATTCACAAAATTATTAGAAGCTTTATTTACGATTGGAATCATTCAACAAAATAGCAAAAGCAAATGAGCCTGAAAAAAGGAACTAAGCTGTTGTCTAGAATGTCCACAGAACATTCGATACCTCAGTAGCTAAGCTGCCTTTGCACCTGGCTGGCATGACAACAGTGGCTCAACATACACAGCAGTTGCACTAACAGCAGCACAAATATTCCCCTTAAAACTTGCCCAGACTAAAGCAAGAAAACAAGGGGATAGTATAAACTCTGCCAAAGTAAGTGTAATTAAATACTGCATGGAATTAACAGCCTGAACCTTTTCCCTCATTTTTGATAGCTGCAGATTGATGTAGTAACTGTCATTTAGCAAATGCAGAATGCATGACGAAGAAATCAGGAGGCCTTAAAAATCCAAATGTGAATGATACTGATGAATGTTCTTGGTATATCTTCAAGGACTTCTTTCATGACTTTTCTTTGTCTAATAATAGCTCCAGCATTACCAAGCACCTGAAGCAAAGGTAAAGCAGCTAGCAATGTTCCAAGTATTCAATCACTCTAGAGATAGATTTCTGGCCTGTGGTTCCAACAGCACACTGAAAGGGGGAGGGTGGGGTGGGTAGAGAGGAAGTAACAGTTAATATTTTACAAATTTTTAAAAGTATTACAGCAAAGCATAAATTCTTTAGCTTTACTAAACTGAACACTATAATCAAGACAGTGAGATTACACTGTGGCTTTGATAATATAGTTATCAATATATTTGGCCATAATACTTAACAATTATCTTTAAAAAAATAGAGCATACTTCTTAAAAGATCCATTTTGCCTTCCACTCTGTGGCAATAGTATTTTTATTTCTACTGTCATTAATGCATCATAGTTATATATAAAACCATAAAAGTTGCAAAAGAAGTTACTTACAGTAAGATTCATAAAGCTCAGGAATTTTTTGAGCATCTCTGTCATTATTGAAAAGTCCCCTTCAGGAAGATACTCCCTCACAGTGGTCACATTAATCTGAGGAAACATCAAAGAAGTATTAGTCAGTGGCAGAAAACATGAGCTTGACACCTTGCACTGTGTTGGTGGTTTTGGCATACATTCTGTTGCAAACTTTTCTGTAGGGTCCCTGAAACTCCGTGGTTAACATACAATTTCCTTTTTCCATACTCCCTAACTGTGCCTGCATGTGTGCACTCATTCCCTAGCCCATCCTATCTACAGAAAGAAAAAAGGTAAAGCTGTCAAGGCTATAAAAGAAAATTATGTGTGCATATTTACTTTTGTAAATACACAAAAAAGTGCCTAAAAGAAAATGTGCTGTTGAGTGTGTATATTTGTGTGTATATTTATGTGTATATTATGGGGGAAGGGTTGTTAGGAGAGGAGGAGGAAGGAGTGCAGATTTAAAAAGTTACACTTCAGAATGTACTCAAGGACTGTTTATGAAACAGAAAGAGAAAGATCAAAGAACATTTCTCACATTCCACAGGTGAAGTCAACTAATTACACAGGTTAGGAATGAACTAGATCTTTCCAGTAAGTGTAGTATAATCCAGGAGGAAAATGCCATCAAAACAGGAGAGATTAAGGTGTTCCCTACATTGTTAGCCAGAGGCAGCCAAACTATATATAAACCAATCTGTTTTAAAAAAATATATACAACCTGCTTTAAAAACTGTTCTATTTGCCTTTTGGCTCTCTGAGCAGCACCATGGCAGTTGGTAAAAACGAGCACCTTACAAAAGGCAGCAAAAAGGGAGCCAAGAACAAAGTGGGTGATCCATATTCTAAGAGGACTGGTACGATGTAAAAGCATGAGCTATGTTCAATGGAAAACACATAGTGGAAAAATGACTCGAGGAACCAACATCATGTCTGATGGTCTCAAGGGTCAAGTTTTGAAGTAACCCTAGCTAATCTACAGAATTAGGAAGTTACATTAAAAAAATTCAAGCTAAATTACTGAGGATGTTCCGGACAAAAACCGCCTAATTTCTAGGGATCTTACCGGAGACAAAAATGTGCTCCACGGTCAAAAAATGACATAACCTGATTCAAAGTCATGTTGATGTCAAAATTTACTGGTGGTTATTTGCTTCATCTATTCTGTAAGTTTTACTAAATACCAAAACAACCAGATTTGGAGGACCTGTTATTCTCAATTATAGACAGTTCTGCCAAATCTGGAGACAATGATGGAAATCATGACAGAGGGTACAAACAAACAACTTGGAAGAAGTGGTCAATACATTAATCCCAGACAACATTGGAAAAGATAAAGAAAAGGCCTGCCTCTATTTATCTGTACCATAATGTCACTGTTAGAAAAGTCAAAATGCTGAAGAAACCCAAGTTTGAACTGGAAAAACTCAGGTTAGCAGTTCTGGAAAAGTTACTGAGGATGAGATAGGTTTTAAAGTTGAATGAGCTGATGGATATAAGCTTTCAGTCCAAGGATCTGTTTAACATTCAAACTTACTGATGATAAACAAAAAAATCTTATTTGTGGGAAAATAAACTATTTCAGTATGTCTTTAAAATGCTTTAAAAATTCATAAAAAATAAAAGGAAAAGCTCTTTTAAAAATGTTCACCAGTAATAAAAAACACAAAAGAAATATGTTGTGAGGACTTCCGCCAAGATGGAGGCATAGGTGGATGTGCCGTGCCTTCTCCCACAACCAAGATTAGAGAAAACTAAATATTAGCAACAGAAAACACAGCCAGAACACGGAAAATTGAACTTTTCGGAAGTCCGTTAACAACAAATTCTTCAGCCTGACCGGTAAGGGGCGAAACCAGCGGCTGGCGGAGCAGGGTTGCACAGGAAAACTCGGTCAGACACACTCAGCCCCGCGGAATCCAGGCGCAGGGTAAGACCTAGTGAGCGACCCAGCGAGCAACCAGGCGAGCGACCGCGGGGGAGACAGCCAGGCCCGGGGCTGCGTGTTGACTGAGGTCGCGCATTTGTGCGAGGGTGGACAGGCGAGGGAGTGGGCGGTTGGACCGGGCGGCAGGTCCCCACGGCAAGCAGCAGTGGAGGGCGCTGCCATTTCCCTGCACTGACCCCACCTCCACATACAGCGTCATAACCCAGCGACTCTGAGTGGCCCGGCCCAGGTGAACCACCTAAGGCACTGCTCCTCTGCACCCAGCTGTGAGAAGCGGCAGAGGGGGTCGCCATTTCCCCGCTCTGGCCACGCCCCCACATACAGCGTCACAAACCAGCAACCTGGGAATCCAAGGCGCCACTTCTCACACTTAAAGGGCCCGAACAGACCAAGAATGGCGCAGGAGGATCTCAGAGCCCCAGAGCCAATAAATCTAAGCGATGAAGAAATAGCAAAACTCACAGACGCACAGTTTAAAACATTGGTGATCAGGATCCTCACAGAACTGGTTGATTATAGCCACAAATTAGACAAATATATGAAGGCAAAACTAATTGAAATGAATGGAATTGCACAGGAAACCAATAGCAATGAAAAGGAAACTGGGACTCAAATCAATGGAGTGGACCAGAAGAAAGAAAATAATGGCCAAACAGAAAAGAGTCAAGAAGCAAGAATTCAAAGAAATGAGGAGAGTCTTAGGAACCTCCAGGACATCTTGAAACGCTCCAACATCCGAATTATAGGGGTACCAGAAGGGGGAAAGGCACAGCCACCAGTGGAAAACTTATTTGAACAAATAATAAAGGAGAATTTCCCCAATCTGGCAAAGGAAATAGACTTCCAGGAAATCCAGGAAGCTCAGAGAGTCCCAAAGAAGTTGGACCCAAGAAGGAACACACCAAGGCACATCATAATTACATTAGCCAAAATTAAAATGAAGGAGAGAATCCTAGAAGCAGCAAGAGCTAAGGGGACAGTCACCTACAAAGGAGTCCCCATCAGACTGTCAGCAGATTTCTCAAACGAGACCTTACAGGCAAGAAGGGGCTGGAAAGAGGTATTCCAAGTCATGAAATCTAAAGACCTACAACCAAGATTGCTCTATCCAGCAAAACTTTCATTTAAAATGGAAGGACAGATAAGGTGCTTCTCAGATAAGATCAAATTCAGGGAGTTCATCATCACCAAGCCCTTATTATATGAAACGTTAAAGGGACTTATCTAAGAAAAAGAAGTTAAAAAAACATGAACAGTGAAAGGACAACAAACTCACAGTTATTAACAACCACACCTAAAAAGAAAGCAAACTAAAAGGACAGCTAGATCAGGAGTGGAAACATAGAAATGAAGATCTCAAGGAGGGTTAGCAACAGGGGAGTGGGAGGAGGAGAAGGGGGGAGAAGGTACAGAAAATAAGTAGCATAGACAGTAGATAGAAAATAGATGGGGGGGCAAGAATAGCATGGGAAATATAGAATCTAAAGGACTTGAGACACATGGTCATAAACTAAAGGGGGGGTGATGGTGGGTATGGGGGGTAGGGTGGACGGGAATAAAGGGGGAATAGAACAACTGTAACAGCATAATCAATTTAAAAAAATTTAAAAAAAAAAAAAAAAAAAAGGAAATATGTTGTCCTGAGGTTGGTGGTGAGGGGTGGTCAAGGGCAAGAGTTCTTCTGATTTTAGTTTTGTTGATGGGGGCAGGGAAGGAGAAACTATAATTACTCTCTTTTAGGAAATCTACCACAAGTCCCCTTCTCCTGTTTTTTATTCTTGTCTAGGTACTTTTGAAATTGTAAAGAAGCAAAATATTGGTGCAAATAGAGTTTCAGAAAAGATCTAATAAAAAATGTTGCTGAAACTGTTCACTTCAGCAGTACATATACTGAAACTGGAACAATACAGAGAACATTAGCATGGCCCCAGTGCAAGAATGACAGGCAAACTCGTGAAGTGTTCCCTACTTTGAAAACAGGGGAAGGGTCATCAAAGAACATATATAAGGTGAGAGGCGGAGATGGGTACAGCAGGGGGAGAGGAAGGGGAAAATGGAGACAACTGTACTTGAACAACGATTTTTTTAACAAGTTGCTAAAATCACTGTGTGCTAAGTTTATATGTGATATAATCACCCATATTCTAAGTGAACCTCTCCAGCAAAAGCCACCATAGATCCCCCTAGCACAAATCTTGTAGCTAAAACACTTAAGAGATTTTTAAAAATGTTTTAAAAATATACTGAAGTAGAGGATATAAGGGTAATGGCAAGGTAAAACTGGATTTAAGAATGTCTTTGACAGAGCCCTGGTTGGTGTAGCTCAGTGGATTAAGTGCGGAACTGAGAGGCCAAGTGTCACTGGTTTGATTCCCACCTGAGGCACACGCCTGGTTTGCAGGCCAGGTTGTGTGAGTGGCAACCACACATTGATGTTTCTCTCCCTCCCTTTCTCTGTCTCTTCCCCTCTCTAAAAACAAATAAATAAAAATCTAAAAAAAAAAAAAAAAGAATGTCTTTAACCATTCTCTAGGAAGAAGCATGACAGTACAGTGATAGGAAGAGTAGTGTGGTAGGTACAAAAAGAACAGGAGGAAACAGCATGGCCTATTTGGAAAATTTAGAAAGTATGCAAGGGGTATGACAGATTAAGAAACTGGAGAAGCAGTTTTAAATCTGGGGTCTTATAGTAAGTAGTAAACAAAGTCATCACTCCCTAAATGACATGAGCCAAGAAAAATTCATAAGAGGAGTTATGTGATCAAATGTGCTCTTAAGGAAGTTAGCTATGGTGGCAGTATACTAGATTTCAGGAATGGAGAGTCAAGACAGGAGACCATTAAGGGGACTGACCACTGCATGCACCAGGTGCTTGATGAGCAATGGAAAATGACACCAGGTCTCCGAGGCTTCCTAAGCATGATGTCCTTCATTCTAGCATTTACTGTATATAACTACCTGCTTTCCTGTCTCTCTTCCACTTACACACTGGGCAAACCAATTTCCTTCACATTTTATGGTATTGGCTAGCTTTTTATGGTTACTTACAATGATTCCCAAGACAAGAAAGATGTCTGGGCTCTATGAATTCACAACATTCCCCACAATGTAGAGACCTTATCATTTCTTTAGAGACATAAGGTAAAATGAATAGGAAAGATGTCCCAAGACAGACCACATGGGGCAATAAAACAAGCTAATTTCAAAAACCATTATTTAAGAAAGAACACGAATAAAAACAAGAGTGGTCAGAAGACGCTAAAATTTAAATACTCTGCCCCCTCTTCCATTTTTGAGATCTGCCTCTTCCTTCTTCCCTTTGTTGGAAGGGCTTAACTGAGGAGATTCAAAGAAAGAAAATGAAGATTTTTGCAGGACTCTCCAGAGTCATGATGAGAAATTTGCTCTTGACCCTAAAAGCAGTGGTGCCAGCAAGAGCCATAACAAAGTGGGCTACTGTGCATTTAGAGCTTGACTACAATATAAACACTGAAGAGATATATACAGGATTTAAGACACATGGATATGGGATGGGGCAAGGAAGGGTTGTAGGACAGGGGAGGTAGGTAGGGAAAAGGCAATATAGAAAACTGGATAGGAAAAATGAGTAAGTGCTGGTGGTAGACAGGCCTACAGCATGAATGCCTCTCCTAAAAAAGCCCTTCACATTATCACTGTGCTTTTTTCCAGTCTCAGAAAAGAGAAGTTAACCTTTCCACTACACAATAGACACTTTCTTTTGCCTCCTAAATGCCGAAAAAAAAAAAAAATCCTGACTTTTAAAATTTTGCTTTTCTACTGGTCCCTTTTCTTTAAAAAAGAAAGCAAAAAAAAAAAAAGAGGCAAAACAACTGAACCCCCCACCCCATGAGTTTCCCATTTTAAAGCAGACTCTCCCAAAGCCAGAACCATCCACTTTCATGCTTTCAGCGCAGGACTGACTAGACAATTCACACTTCTGGTAGTTAAATCACAATGACCTAAATCTCCATTTTCCTGGCCAGTGAGTACTTCAAACAAAAGCATGTGAGCCAATACTGGCCAAGATGAGGGGAAGTCTACTTATTGTGGTGGGTGGGAATGGGTCCTATGTGGGGAAAAAAGCATTACTCTGAAAAAGAAATATACATGAAGAAGTCACCATTTTCCGCTAGATATACCTAGAGCCAGCACAGGGCCATGAAGGCAACTAGCAAAGGAAAAATAGAGTTTAAAGACAGAAATTATCTGAGTCCCTGGTATCACTGAGGCTAGACTTTTCCATCTTAAGCCAACTGAACATAGGTTTCATATTATGCTCTTCTTTTATTTCAACCTAAGGGATGTGAATTGATTCATCATCCATTAGTCAAGAATGCTCTCATTAAACCCAATATACTCTTACTCTGGAATGTACCTTTGAAAGTTCACCCAAATTCAAAATAGTCACAGGAATTTAAGATTCAGCATAGGAAACACAATCAATTAATACTGTCATAACTGTTAGTGCCAGGTGGGTACTGGAAATATAGAACGCATAAAGTACATATGACTATCTGACCACTATGTGGTACACCTGAAACTAGTACAAAATAACAATGAATGTAAACTGTAATTGAAAAATAAAATGTAAAAAAGTTGACCAAATACTTTAAAATTATCTTTAAAATTTTTTATTTATTTTTAGATAGAGGAAAGGGGGAAGAAAGAGAGGGAGAGGAACATCCATCGGTTGCTTCTCACACACCCTCAACTGGAAACCTGGCTTGCAATACAAGCATGTGCCCTGACTGGGAATCAAACGCGCAACCCTGCAGTTTGCAAGACAATCAACCGAGCCACACCAGTCAAAGTAGTAAATAAGTTAATTAGATAATGGTATGAAGCTGTCATAATAGAATCTTTTTTAGCGCACATAAAACAACACTGAACTATTACTTACTGGACTCTCCTGGCAGAGACACCCAAGAAGCAATGCTGTATATGAGGCCACAATGCAATCCTCCATGTGTTTGCCAGCATGCTGAAGGGCTAAGAATAAACAAAAAACTGTTAACAGTATATCAAAATAAAAACTCAAGAAACCAGGAAGTCTGTTCAACTCTGCTAGTTACCTTTTCTTCAAAATTGTTGAATATTGATAAATGATATTAAGATAATGGGATATCCACACAAATTAACAACAAAAAAATTTCAGATGGAAGATATAAGATCATGGAAGATAATATAAGAGCTAAAACCATAAAACTCTTAGAAAAAAACATACTCAATCTTTGTGACATTGTTAGGAAACAGTTTCTTAGATACAACACTAAAACCACAAGTGACAAAATAAAAAAAAAAACAGGGAAGTTGGACTTCATTAAATTTAAAACTTTTTGTTTCGAAACCTATCATATACCATCAAGAAAGAAAAGACAACCCTCAGAATATATCTGCGTATCATGTACCTGTAATCGGGGCCAGGTATCCAAAATATATAAAGAATTTGCGCAGCAAAAACACAAAGTAATATGGGCATTAAATAGATATTTCTGCAAAGATATGTAAATGACCACTAAGCATGTGAAAAGATGCTCAACATGATTTATTAACTAGGGAACTGCAAACCAAGTGACATATACCTTCATACTGACTAGGATGGCTAAAATGAAAGAGACAAATAACTGAAAGGATGCAGAGAAACTGGAACCCTTTTGTGTTGCTGGTAGGAAATTAAACTGACACAGCCACTTTGGAAAATAATTTAACAGTTGTATATAAAATGTTTATAGCAGCATTATTCCTAACAACCAAAGGCAGACACAAACCCAAATGTCCAGCTGATGGCTAGATAAACAAAATGTGATATCTACATACAATGGAAAATAACATTTGGCTATAAAAATGAAATTAAGTACTGAGACATGCTATAACACGGATGAACACTGAAAACATTAGGCTAAGTGAAAGAGGCCAGTCACAAAGGGTCATATTGTATTATATTATTTATATGAAATATCCAGAATAGGCAAATCCAGAGAGAGAAGTAGACTAGTAGTTTCTAGTGGTTAAGGAGGGAAGAACAAGGGATAATTGTTGTTCATGGGTACAGGGTTTCTTTTGGGGGTGATGAAAATATTTTGAAATTAAACAGCAATGATGACTGCACAACTTTGTGAACATATTGAAAACTACTCAATTGTTTACTTTAAAAGGATGGAGTTATCTTATATGAGGCCGAACTGTATCTCCCACCCAATTTATGTGTTGACCTCGGGACATGACTACACTTGGACATCGGGTGTTTCATTAAAAAGACAGCTAACTTAAATGAGGCTGTTAGGGTAGGCCTTAATCTAATATTAACTACTGTCCACATAAGAAATTAGAACAAAGACATTCACGAAGGAAAGACCATGTAAAAACACAGGGGAATCTGATCATCTAGAGCCAAAAAGAGAGGCTTTAGGAGACACCAACTGTGATGACACCTAGATGTTGGACTTAAAACCTCCAGAACTATGAGGAAATTAATTCTTTTGTTTAAGCCACTCAGTCTATGGTGCTTTGCAAAGGTAGCCCTCACAAGCTAATACTTATCCCCCCCAAAAAGCTAGTATTTAAAAGACTGCTAAGCAACCAAAAATATTATGCCAAAGAAAACACCAAAACTTAGTAAATGAGAAAATAAAACATTTATTACAATGCCAGAACTAATGACATTAGATTTGGAGAGCAGTGGACATAAAAGAAAGAGACTGAGAAGCACTGTTGGTGCTTGCTTCCTAACTGGGTGAAAATGAACATATTACTTAAATTTTCAAACTTAAGTGACATGAAATTACAAGTGGCTATTTTGCAGAACTTGCATAAATCAAGTATCGTGGTTCCTGACAATGGTAGGTAACGTCTAGTTAATGAAAACATTACCTTCAGTATATTCCTTACTGTGTTTGCTACCAACTATGTATATACCATTTGAGAACGATGATTTTATTTATTTATTTTTTTA